GCCATGTCCCACCAACATTGTGAAAACACCTGGAAGGGAGCTGGCCTAGTTATTGCTCTGTGAGCCCTTTATGCCACAGCTACTAAATCATTGTCATTTAAGAATATAATTAGCACATCTCATTAGCTAATGAAGATGATAACCATTAAAATTCTTTACCAATTTATAGTTCCCCCTTTATCACAATTTAACAACAGCGCCATTTCAGGGTAATAACAAAATTGGTTCACAAATGACCCCTACACTAATGAACAAGCAGCACTTTGTATCAAGGAGCAAAGGACTGTTTATTCATTATACTGCTAATTATTTATGTAGTGGAGTTGTATTGCTGATGACTTTCCAATGTGATTCAGTCAATACATTCTGAATTATCATTTTTATGTTGGCATTACAAAGCAAACTACACAGAATATATCTATTTTCTTCAGCAATCCTTAGTTAGAGAACTAAGGATTATATTACGTTTATGTAGGGATTATATAATATAAAAATATAACTAAGGATTAAATTATATTTATATTATGTAGACATCATTATATTTGATGTCTGCATTCCAAGTGTTTAAGTAAAGGATTAATAATTATCCATACAAATACACTATAAAAGCATTTCACAAGTAACATGTGTTTATTTTAACTCAAAAATGTTCTACTTTTTCAAACTCTTTATTTTTCTAAAAATTCATTTTTCCTCTTTTTAATGTGAAATACGTATATATTCATAGAGTATATGAAATAAAAAAATTCAGTATATGTTAACATTCTTAAAATGATAAAATAGAATGAAAATTTGGGTATTACTGAACTAATGAATTTATATTTAACTATTCAAACCAAAAAGTTGAAATATAAATTCATCAATTCCTGATATCATTTTGAGGGTGGATATTTTGGTCATCTAATGCCATTGACAAATTATCATGCTTAAAAAAGCATTCATTTATCTCATAGTTTCTGTGAATCAGGCTTCAAAAACTGAGTTAGCTGGCTCTCACAAGGCTGAACAATGAGTTGGCTGGGGCTATCATCCCATCTGAGGCTCAAAGTCTTCTCCAAGCTCATTGAACTTGTTGAAAGAATTTAGGTTTTGTAGTCGTGGTACTCAGCTCCCCATCTTTTTTGCTGGCTATTGGCCAGATGTTTCATTCAGCTTCTAGAAGTAGTCCTTAAGTCTTAAACAAAATAATATCTTCTTTTTACAAAGCCAACAGGAGAATCAGCCTGCCATGACAGAGTCTTATATACCATCCCATACTGATAGACTGACTATCGCATGATATTTTTAGATTCTGCCCTCACTCAAGGTAAGATGATGATATAATGCCTGTATAATAGGGGATGGAACTCTGCCACCCTCTGATTGGAGCTATTTATGTCCTTCTGAAATGTAAAATATATTGACTGCTTCCAGGATTCTCCAGAGTCTCATTCCATTATGACATAAGCTGAAATTCCAGAATTTCATTCATATCTCATTCACTCAAAGTCTAAAAGATAAATTAAGTCCAAATACATATGAAAGGCCTGAATATAATCCATTAAGTAGAGCTCCTGGGACACAATTCTCCATCTGTGAACCTGTGGAAATAAAGAGACAAGTTATCAGTTTCCCAACACTTTCTTCTTACAACAGTTGGACAGGATTAGGAATTAGTTATAAACAATCTGGTTCAAAAACTGGAAAATAGAAGATAAACAGGGATAACTGCTCCATAACAGTTGTGAAATGTTGGATTTTCTTGATTTCAACCTGGATAAATGGCTTAAGGCTCTTAGTTGAGAAAATCTGTAAACTCTTAATTTCTTGAAGGAGATTTAGCTTGACTAAATGCTCTGATTTTTTTTTTTTAAATCTTTCTAAGGTTTTAACTTAAGGTCATGCAGTCACACCCTCCACTTGTTTTTATTGACTAAACATTAATCAGCCATTTTGGACAGGCATCCTTTGCCATCTGGAAAGGCCAATAATTTTCAAAATCATCCAGCTCTGCTTTTTTTCTTTTTCTTTCCTCAACCTCTCTCTCTTCTCTCACATTTACTATAAGCAGCAAGGAGACACCAGGCAGCATTTTTGGTATTTAGCTATATAGTTGACTCTTCAACAACATGGTATTAGGGGTGCTGATTCTCTGTGTAGTCAAAAATCCATTTATAGTTTTTGGTTCCCTAAAAATTTAACTATTAATAGCCTGCTGTTGACCAAAAGCCTTACCGATAACACAGAACAGTTGATTAACACATTTTGTATGTTATACATATTATATACTATTTTTTCACAATAAAATAAACTAGAGAAAATAAAATGTTATTAAGAAAATCATGCAAAAGAGTGCAAGCATGGTGGCTCATGCCTGTAATCCCAAAACTTTGGGAGGCTGAGATGGGAGGATCCCTTCAAGCTAGGAGTTTGAGTCCGGCCTGGGCAATATAGTGACACATTGTTGCTACAAAAATTACAAAAATTATCTGGGCATGGTGGCACATGCCTGAAGTCCTAGCTACCTGGGAGGCTAGAGGAGCCATTGAACCTAGGAGTTTGAGGTTGCAGTGATCTATGATGATGCCATTGCACTCTAGTCAGGGCAACATAGGGAGACCCTGTCTCAAAACAAACAAACAAATCAAATCAAATCATACAAAAGAGAAAATATATTTACTGTTCATTATTGCAAGTGGATCATCCTAAAGGTTTATATCTTCATCATGCTGATGCTATGTAGGCTGCTGAAGAGGAGAAAGAGAAGGGGTTGGTCTTGCTTTCTCAGTGGCAGCAGAGGCAGAAGAAAATCTACATATAAGTAACCCATACAGTTCAAACCCATATTTTTCAGCCACCAACTATATATTCAATTTCGTCATTTAAAAGCTCTGATTCCCACATAAGCACAGGACACAGTTTTGATAATCTTCTCTTACTCCATAACACCAATCTGTCTCCCTTTTTCTAGTTTTCAGTAACATTCTTCACTTTCTTTTAAAACTTCCCTGACAACATCTTCCAAATTCAGTTTTCTAACAATATGTCCAACGGAATTTCAACTTTCCCTCTCAAGCTTCTTAAAATCCTTCCAAATTCCACCAATTTTCTGATTCCAAATCACTTTTTTCCCCCTAGGTATTTGTTTCAGCAACACTAAATTTCCAAGTACCACAATCTATATTAGTTTTCTATTCTGGGTAAAAAATTATCCCTTACTTGGGCCTTCTGCTATGGGTTTCAGAAGCTGAAAACAAGTTTTTTTTATTATTATTATTTCAAAATATTATGGGGTACAAATGTTTAGGTTACATATATTGCCTTTGACCCACCCAAGTCAGAGCTTCAAGTATGTCCATCTCCCAGTTGGTGCACACCACACCATTAGGTGTGAATACAGCCATTCCCCCTGCCAACTGCCTGACACCTGATGAATGTTACAACTATATGTGCACATAAATGTTGATCAGTTAATAACAATTTGATGGTGAGTACATGTAGTGCTTGTTTTTCCATTCTTGTGATACTTCACTTAGTAGAACGGGCTCTAGCTCTATCCAGTATAATACAAGAAGTGCTAGATCACCATTGTTTTTTTGGCTGAGTAGTACTCTACTGTGTATATATACCACATTTTATTAATCCATTCATGTATTGATAGGCACTTAGGTTGTTTCCACATCTTTGCAATTTTGGATTGTCTTGCTAAAAACATTCTAGTGTAGATGTATTTTTTATAGAATGTCGTTTTTTCCTTTGGGTAGATGCCCAGTAATGGGATTTCTGGATCAAATCAGATTTCTGGATCAAAGTAGTCCTATTTGTTTCTTATAGAGACATTTCTACTTGGATGAACATCTAAACTTCTATCTTTATTTTTCTTTATAGCACTTAGGATGTCCTGATATTCAATATATATTTACCTATTTGAGTATGTATTTTTCTCTCTCTACCCATCTCACCCCCGAAATATAAGTACCATGATTATAGGTGCTTTTCTCTCTTTTGTTCACTGCTAAATCCCCAGTACAAATAATAATGTTTGGCGCACAGTAGATACTCAAGAAAATAGTTGAGTGAACATTCCTGTTGACCTGTTTCCAAAGTATTAGAATCTTCTATTTTGCCTTTATAAGTGTCATTTTCATCAGTTTTAAGTTATATATAAAAGTATACAGTTAGCTAAAGATATGTCAAACTTATTTTGGCTAATAAGTTCAGAAAATAATAATTCTATTGTCTTTTGCTTTTAGGTTCTGAAGGGTCTTTAGTACAATCTAATGTCACACATTTGCCTCAGTTTTCTTATTTGTTTCTCCTTATTGACTTTCAACATTAACACTTCAATCTAACTGAAATCATGTTATATACTTTAAAAATACCAATTTTTGTTTAATTTACTCAAATATCTAATTGTCGCAATGTCAGCATATACTTTATATTAACTTACAAAACCCCCTTTTATACATATTGTAGTTTATATTGAATTCTGTTTCATGCTTTTCTATGCTTATTTTTTATATTCTCTTGGTTTATAAGTACATTAAGTACTGAATAATAAGATATTTTAATAATAACTTTCATAAACATTTTAGTGTTTTATAAAATCACTACTAATATTTTATATTTTAATATTAACTATATACAAGGCACAATACTAAGTGTTTAAGTGGATTATAATGCTCAAGTTAATACCCAGTTGTCTGGAAAAGACATGTTGTATCTATCTTAATATGTTCAGATACCAAGGGTTCAGAGAGTAAAACTAAATTGCCAAAATCTACATAATTAACAGTTAAAATTTTAACAGAGACAGTTAAAATTCTAACTGAAGTTTCCATCTAAAATGTTATGCGCTCATAAAACAACTAGCAGTTCAAACTTTTCAAAATTTTACCTCTTCAAAAAATGTATTTGCTATCCAATCTCAGTTACATTTAATGTATAACACAATAAATATATTTTAAGTATGCATAGATTTATAAAGTGTTAAAAGAGGTTTTATATGTTTTTCCCTGCAGGAGTCAACCACAGCAATATATAAGACGAAAAGATATCACCAAACATTCATTAAGTGATTTATAAGGTAAAATTTGTAAATATTTAATATGTTGTAAAATGTCAAAATCTTTGTCATACAGTTTCTCGTAAAGACGTTCTATAGTTATAGTAAACTATTTGGAGATTTGGCAGGGTAATTTTCTTCTGTGTATTAAAATCACTCTTTCAAATATCTAACTCATTATTTTCTCTAATAAACTATTAAACTTTTTCTCACAGGCACACTTTTCAAATATCATAGGCCCAGCAAAGGGGCACTGACATTGTGACAACTTTTATAGATGTTCCTAAATTTTCTTTAAAGGTCCAAATGTAGAAATATGACTCTTCCTGCCTATTAACCATAATTTACCTGTGTAAATCTATTTTATAGGTAAGATTTATTAAAACAAAAGCCCTTATCTTTGAATAAAATTAATTATAATAGGTATAGATGCTGAAAAGAATAAATTGATGGTAGATAATGTATAACTTTTACCATTTTGGTGAGGGATTAATGACATCCGATATACCATTGCTTTGAATAATAAAAAAAAATCTACCTGAGTATTTGAATTTTTTATCAAAAGATGAAATATAAGGAAACAAGGAATGAGATCAAATGTACTGTTTTAACTTACTTTGTGTAAAGTATATTTTATCAGACATTCTGTGGAGCTGCCTGAACTTTTTAGGTTAGTATGCATATATCTTACTAAATCCTCATCATTTATGTCAATGGAAAGGATTAAATATTATTTCAAACCTTAGATATGTTCAAAGTTAAAGTCTGTTTCATACAATGTGATTGTTATTATTTCTGAAAGTCAACTTTAAATATGGATCTGCTCTTTTGATAATGTTACATGTATACACTTACTTGGGCATTTATGTATATTCTTTTTAAACAATTCTACTCAGATCCTTTGCTCATGTTAAATAGTAGTTTTTGATTTTTTCCTATTGACTTGTTGAAGCTCCATATATATTCTAGATATTAATCCCTTGCCAGATTGTAGTTTGCAAATATTTTATTCCATTCTGTGAGTTTTCTCTTTACGTTGTATTTCCTTTGCTGTGCAGAAGGCTTTTAGATTGATGTGGTCCAATTTTTCTTTGCTTGCCTGTGCTTTGACAGTATTACTAAAGAAATCATTGCCCAGCTTATGGTCCTGAAGCATTTCCCCTATGTTTTCTTTTAGTAGTTTCATAGATTAAGGTCTTAATATGGCTGAGATATGGGTCTAGTTTGATTCTTCTGTGCGTTATTAGTTATCAGAGTAACGTAAATCAAAACCACAATGAGATATAATCTCACCCCAGTTAAAATGGTATTTATCTAAAGACAAACAATAACGAATGCTGACGAGGATGTGGAGAAAGGGGAGCCCTCGTACACTGTTGGTGGGCATGTAAATTAGTGCAACCACTGTGGATAATAGTATGGAGGTTTCCAAAAAATTAAAAATAATACTATAATAAGACTCACCAAAGCTAATGCTGGGTATGTATCCAAAGGAGAAGAAATGAGCATATCAAAAGGATATCTGAACTCCCATGTTTATTGATGCGGTATTCACAATATCCAAGAGTGGGATCAGCCTAAGTATCCATCAACAGATGACTGGATGATAAAATTGTGACACATATACACAGTGGAATATTACACATTCACAAAAAGATGAAATCCTGTCATTTTCAACAACTGGAGAACATTATGTTAAGTGAAATAAGCCAAGCACAGAAAGAGGAACCTCATGTGTTCTCACTTATATGTAGAAAATAAATATTAAAACAGTTGATTTCATGGAAGCAGAGGGTTGATCTCATGATTACAGAGGCTGAGAAGGGTAACAGGGAGTGGGACATAAATTGGGGATTGTTAATGGAAACAAAAATCTAGTTCATTAGCTAGAATAAGCAATAATTTATAACACAACAAAGTGACTATGATCAGCAATAAGTTATGGCATACTTTAAAATAACTAAAAGAGTGGAGTTGGAATGTTCTAAAACAAAGAAAAGATAAATGTCTGAATTGATGGATACCAAAATTATCCTAATTTGATTAATCCATATTGTATGCTTATATCAAAACGTCATATGCACCCTATAAATATATACAACTCTTATGTCCCCATAATAATTATAAATTTAAAAATTTACAAAATAAATAAATAAAATGTTAATACATATTGTTGAATTGTTCCCCCAAAGTTAACTGTAGCAATTTACACTCCTAAAAGAAAATTAAAAGCAACAACAAAACTAAACCAAATTGTGTTCCATTAAGTCAAAGATATAAGCCCACACAGTTTTCCAGTTTAGTTACCTCCTGCTTCATTCCCTCCACCTGTGTGTCTCCTCAGTCCTCCTGAGGATACTCCAACCTTGATTACATTGGAAACTCTTAGCAAAGTTGAATTTTTATTTCACACAGGCTGAGAGCATATCCTTGTTGTAAACACATTTTGTTGTTGTTGATGTTTAAAAATGTATTTTTGGAGGCAGGAATACATAGGAGTAAAAGCAAATAAGATATGAAAACCATGTAATGAAAGATTTTTTCGGATACATGGTTTAATGATCTTAATAAATCAATCACTTTATTATAAATAAGCACAACTTTACCTATTGCTATGAGCATACTTCATCATTATAGGAAAAACAAAGTGGGTTTGTAAATGTATGTATGTTTGTGAAAAAATTCACATCAATTTTTAAGTCCTAGGATACAAATTAAAAATGCATAACTTTGGACATTGAAATATTAAGACATAATTTATTATTAAATTATTTATAATGTATAAATTTTACAACACTTTCCTTAAGTTTGTAGGTAATTATAGACAGAATTATTCTAACATTGAATCATTTATTCTGCATGTTGGTGCTAAGTTTCATAGCCCAACTTTAGAAAGGGTTACAGTAGAGGTTGTAGAACATCACAAATTTTATCTTACAAGGTAAAGCTAATTACACTTTTAATGTTAGCCAATGTTTCCATGGCTTTAGGTCACATTCACACAGAGTTCTTTGAAATGTAAAGAGGAAGAATATGATACTGTTCACCTGCTAAATTTAATTTGAATACATTTGTCAGACTCCAACTTATTAAAACATTAAAAAGAGAGAGAGAGAATGAAAAAAGAGAGCTGGAAGAAGAGATTTTACCTTGTCTTTGTAAGTTGAGCCCTAACCATGTTTTATATTGAATTTGTATTAAATCCCACTTAAGATTTGGCTCTTCTACAACATTCTTCAAATGCTATTGTAAAATATAACATTTTGAGGACTTAAATATCAAGACAATTTAATAAGTAAAGACAGACTTGGGATTAATATCCTTGAAAAAGGAAATTTTTCTACCACATTAGTTGTAATTTTCACCTCAATTTACATTTTTAAAAATTTTTGGTTTAAAGCCAGCAGTCTCCTAAGTTGAGGACAGAGGCTTACATTTCAGAAGTATGTTCATATTCTACTTCTCCTCTATAATTTATAATAGTAAACTTTTCATCAAAATTTTCTTCAGAAAGATTTTTCAAGAAAACATATTTCCATTTAAATTAATGATTAACTTACTTTTATAATAGAATGCAAACTATGCTTATTGAGTTTTAATCAAGTAGACCCATAAATTACATTATAAGTTATAGAATAGTTAATTGTTACTCCATAATTTTTAAATTATCTTTTGGTATGCAATCAAAGTAAATTATCTATCTTTAAAAGAAATGATTATAAATATCAAATTTGTGCAGATTTACAGTCAAAGTTTACTTCATACCATTTCAATGTATTTTTTATATTTCCTATATTATTGCATAAAGAAACCAAGTAAATTGAATAAATTTATGTATGGAAATATGTAAGAGATTGTATAATTCTGTAGTCATAAATATTTAATGTATCTAGTAAGTGCTTTATGTTTATAAACTCATTTACTCCTCAAACTGAATCAGTGATATATACTTTCCAGAAGAACTGTGTATAAGATTGAAATGGTGTGAATTTATAAAACTTTAGTTTAATTTTTTATTTATAATTTATTTTGAGCAAAAAGATTGATTTATTTTTCAACTGTTAGCCCATCTATTTATTTTTGTATAGCAATTGAAGCAACACAATTAATTATATAAAGTTTAATGTTTGCTTACATTTATATTCTTAATTAAAGAGTAGTAAAACTTGTCAAATGTTGTTCAACAAGCCACATGGGGTGTCTACCTGCAGGTCACCCAGGATTGACTTGCTTGTCTGTGTTTGCTTTGAACTGGTAAAAACTCTGGTTGTTAGTTACAGTTGTTGAGATGTATATATTCTGTTTCATAAAGAAGTAATTCTGGAAATGGGCTTCAGGGAGTTTTCTCTTAGAGGGATAAGTAGCCCTCAACACTTTCATTGCTGCTGCTGCTCTTTTGGCTCCAGGAGTCAATCGCAAGGAGAGTTTCTGCTGTGCTTCTGGTTTGAACATTTTTCTCTTGTCATGTAGCCATGGTAGATTTATAAGCACTTGTTATTCTCTGGGGGATAGAATCAGGCTGACAGTTTGCGCGAAAGAATGTGATTACGTACTTTCAAGTTTCTTGCACATTTGTTGATGAACAGCATTATTCATGTTACTTAGAGTCAAACATCTCTCTCACTTACTCAACAGTGTCAGCTATTTGAAATATTTCTCATTGAGCAAATAACCCGAATTCACTTCGCAGTAAATCTATCACTTCAATATTCCAAATCTCAACGAAATCTTCAATTTCTTCCAAAAATAACCTCATGAGATATTTTTATAAAACTCAGTGATCACACACTTCATGTTTAATTTACAAAAATCAGTGGAAAACTAGTGTGTATTTTATGAATAAATAAGTATTTGTATTTTCTTGGAAGAGTATGAAGTAGAAGAATTATTTATCTGTTATAAAAATGTGAATGAATATGTGGAAGTATAATGTCTTTTTTCAGCTAATTGTAAAGTTTCCCTTACATATCCTTGTTTCTAAATATTCTAAAACTTTCCACTTTAATTAAAATTTTTGTCTG